GGCAGGCTGCTCAACAACTATTATCACTGTTCCATCGCACGATATGCCCCCCTAAACCCCAAACCCCAAACCCTAAACCAAAACCCGCTTCTCCTCCGGAACTCGGGGCAGGAGTTGCTGACTCTCCGCTGACTTAGTGGAGCCGCGCAGAGCCTCGATGGCCTTCAGCCGGCTGTTCACGGACACGAAGGGCAAAGACGTCAGCACCGAAGTAAACCTGGGTTTTTTTGCTACGGCGTTGTTTGAGCTACCATAAGAGTGATGGAGTGTACATGCTGTGGTTTCCGTTTCCTCATGCTGGTAACTTACACTAAATTCCGTAATTTGAACCCAGAAACTGATTCACGATGTTCACCAAGGTGACGCGCTTGAGTGGCGAGGTGAAAGGCCCGAAGCTTACTTGCATGAGCAGCTGCAAGTCATCAGTGGCGGTCAAGACGCCCTTGATGTTGAAGGAGACCAAACCCGGATTTCTGAAGCTGAAGAGCTCGAAGTCCCCGTTCGTCTGCATGAGGTCCAAATGTTCCCTGGCCTTGGCATCACGGAGGTGCTCCGACAGATTCGTGTTCAGGTAGCTGTCATAGAGCATCGAAGCCACCTGCAGCTCGTCCTCGGACCACCTGAAGCTACTGAAGTCTCCCTCCTCTTCTGTTGATTCCTGCGCCAGCTGTGCAGGTTGCACGGTGCGGTCCATGGGCTGCAAGGAGCTGTCGTCCTCCGCGCCGTGGGTGCCCGTGGCCTTCCCCAAAGGGTTTCTCCACGTTTCGTGGGCCGTGTGGATGTTGGCGTCGGTGAAGTCCGTGCCGGTGCCGAAGCGCTTCGTGAGGCGCATGGTGCGACTGAAGAGCTGGACTCCGGAGGACTTGATGACGGTCCGCAGGACGCTGAGATCCACTCCACTTGGCTGCTTGTCGGGCCAGCAGACCGTGGTCTCCAGGTCTGCCAAGGGAGCTGGCAGAAGGTCAAACTCCAAACCGCCCACGAAGGCCAAAACGGGTTGCGTGCTCATGGAATAGCCAACAGTGACGCACTTCTCGATGGCAGACTCCCAGGTGTAGAAGGAGTAGCCTTCCCACTTCTCGGGGTTGTCCGTCATCCAAGAGTTGTCACAGGGGACCGCCCATGGCTCCAACTGAATGAATTGATCCGCTTGCTCTACCTGCCAGTCTCGCTGTGTCACCTTGCTATTGCTCCCCCGGCGAGTTTTGGGTGCAAAGGCCAAGCAGGAATCTGTGTCCACCTCCTTGCCACCGAACTGAGTGATGAGTTTCGTGGCATAGTTGGCCTCATTGTCACTGATCTCGAAGTTGATGGCGCCATCGCTGTC